CTGCCTTAAATAATCTAACATAATGATGCTGAAACCTGGCATGGGAAGTCTGAGCCCACTAGACTCAAGTCCATCCATGGACAGACCTTCCGGCCTCTCACATAGCTCTCTCGTTTCTCTCGGCAACCCTTTATTCTCACTCTGTTTCCTCCCTTTCTCTCTAACCTTACCGTCCCACCCTGACACAGTCGGATCTTCTGGGCAGGAGACCGTGCTGTACCAGAATATGTATGCAACATAGCAAAACTCTGGGACAAGGTAACTGTTGACCTACTCAGAGGCACTCTGGTTAGGCCTGGGGCTCACTGGAGCTTTATTCTATTTAAGATCTGCTGCATTGAAGGTTCCAGGGGTTTTCCACTGGTGGTGAGAAAATTTGTCTGAGAATTCAAATTCTGGGACTTCTCTACCTACTGCTTGATTAGTGAAAGCCTTGAGAACCTTCCTTTGGTCCCGTGGTTTCTTAGTCCTGGAACTGTAGAAGTTGGGGCACCCCCTTCCTTTGCAGGTGCATTTGGTCGATTTGAAATTGAGAGGATGCTCTAAGTGGCTGGATATTGACTCCTGTTTTTACCTTGATGCTGGACCCTGCTATGGATTCCATATTCTCCATCCCAAGGTACTTACTCTCAGCCTGGCTACAGGCTAATCTAAAGCTCCATTTGGTTAGACCTCATACCTAGTTCATTTCTTCAACTCTCAGTCCAAACCTGGCCTCAGTATACATTGAACAAATGGCCACTGCTGGCCTGGGGTCTTTTCCATTTCTAATACTTACACAGACTGAAATAATTCCACAAGACAGAATGCTATCATGGTTCGAGGCCCCTCCCCCATATAACACAGTTCTCTTTAATCTTTCTCAAGGCCCTGGTTTACAACCACACTCAAGGCCAGAACGTCCTTCACCTTGGCTGATGACCTAGACTCACCTTGTAGTAAATAACAATCTCTGGCTTGTGGCCATCTTGGATGATGATCTAGCAACTATGTGGCTTGCTGCCATCTTGGCTGTTAAAGATAACTGTTAAAGATAACTAAGATATACAAGTTAATGATCAGTCATGCTAACTACAAAAGCAATTTGTATGGCAGCAGCAAGCATGGAGGGACACATTAAAGCAAGACATTCCAGGAAATTGTTGACAACTAAGCTTACTTGATCAACAAATAACCTATAGTCGGTCTATTCTGTAAAATAAACTGTGACTTTCAATTCACCATCTCAATTGATTTCTGCTAATGTCTTTGTTGTAATGTTAGTAGTTTTAGTAAACATATGGGCCATTTTTGTAGTTCAGTAATCATTCCTGGGACTGGTAATAAAAAGCATAAAAAAAATCTTCAGCATGGCAAAACAACATCATTCTGTTTCCTGTTACAGGTGTGCCTTTATCCCTGCCCTACTTCCGACAAAGTGGATTCTGCATTAACATGCCAAAGATTAACATGTAATGTGGTCAAGATTAAAGCAGAGCATCATTTTAGCATCGGTAGTACTGTGACCTTGTTGCCTCCTCAGGTGATTGGTCTATTTGTTCTTCCTTGGGACAACCCTTCTGATGGGGCTGTAATCTCTCTTCACTCTATTTGACCAGTGGTCTCCAGGATGCTGTCCTGGTCAGATGTATCAGGGTGGGAACCATCTGGGATCTTGCTTATTTTCTGGAAAGACACAGCCCAACCTTGAGAAGAACATCTGGCACTTTCCATTGATTAATTTGTAGACTTCTCCATTTAACATATGCTTTAGGCTGTGACTCCTTTAGGACAAAATGCTTTTGGGGAACAGAAAAAGCATTATCCTTTAAAGTAAAAAGTTTAAAGTTAACGAAACTAAATGTAGCATATAGTATGTGAGATTTAAGTAGGTGTATATACCCCCTTTTATTTAAAAAAGCTATTTAAATATTTGATGGTGTTGTGACATAATAGTGTGACCATGTAGGTTGTAAGAGATTCTAGTAACATTATTAATATTCCATAAATTGTAAAATTCTTTAAAGTGTTTGCCAGTATAAGCAGGACTGTTACCTGATCTAGTTGTACGGAGTCCTAGAAAGAAGGTATATAATAAAGGATTAATGGCATCTGAGGTTGATTCACCCCTGTGAAAAGAAGCAACAAAATACCAGAAAAGGTATCAATTGTTACATGAACATATTCTGTACGTACAAATTCTGAGATGTAAGTGATACCTGTTTGCTAAATGGCAATAAACTTTAACCTTGGAGGAGTAATTAATGGGGTCCACCAGCAGATGGCAGTGGTGTGAAAGAAGAGCAAGCTGAAGACGTTTTTTTAGAGATTTTTTTTTTTTCTGCAGCCTGAAAAAGAAAGTTTTTTGGGAGTGAGGAGGAGGCCAGCTCATTGGCTTGAACATTGGGAGACATTAACGAACCTGGCATATTAGAATGAGCATGAATAGGAGTTATGAAGAAAGGTTGGGGTCGCTGTCGTACAGAAGTCAGAAGGGAGACAAGGCTGTGAAATTGCAGTAGTAGTCGGGTGGGTTTAGGTCTTTTAGTTTTTAAAAGAGAAAAGTTTGAACACAATGTGCACAGGCAGTTAAAATATTCAATGGCCGAGAGACATCTAGTAAGAGCTGGTTGATTAGGGCGTGTTCAGACTTCTGAGTGTACAACCAGGAGTGGGTACAATCTTTTGTTATGGATGATGTAGAATTTGCATAAAAACATATGCTCCTAGGCCTTTTGCAGAGCCATCTGTAAAAGCACTACTAAGCAACATCTATGGGATTTTTAGATGTGTAATTTCATGTAATGTGCACTGGGTATGGACAATAAAATCTTAGAAAGTAATCTCAGGGATGATGATTATGTATAGATCCTGAGTAACATGATAATACTACCTACCTATTATAACAAACCTGAATTTCACTTAGTGGCACAATAATCTCTATAGGTTCTTTACCAGGAGGTTGTTTCACATGTGTCCTTCCCATCCTATCCAGTCTATACTTTCTAGTAAATAAGGTGTTACAGGCCGTTGTGGAGAATTAAGACATCCATAAATTTCTATACTATTGACATATGATCCCAGTGGGTGATGAGGAGGGAGGAAGGCTAAGAATCAATAAGGAAGAAGGGATCAGTTCTATGAGCCACCACTTTGGCAGCAGCATTGCTTAATAAACTAATAACTCGCTCTACTTCAGGTGTTATGATGGTAACTGACTTCTTTTACATTGCTTCCAAGCACGTGTTCCATTTGCAGCTGCCTGATGGAACAAATGGCTAGTTGCAGCTACCCTTCTACAGAACTCGGGTACATGGTCCAACCAGTTGTCCAATTGCATTTCACCTGATGCTAACGTTATGTTTAACTTTATATTAATTCATGTTAATCTTTTGTTTTGTTTTCAAGACAACGTTTCTCTGTATTGCTTTGGAGTCTGTCCTGGAACTTGCTCTCTAGACCAGGCTGGGTTCGAATTCACAGAGATCCACCTGCCTCAGCCTCCCGAGTGCTGGGATTAAAGACAGGCGCCACCATCACCCAGCTGTTAATCTTTTTTTTTTTTTTTTGGTTTTTCGAGACAGGGTTTCTCTGTAGCTTTGGAGGCTGTCCTGGAACTCACTTTGTAGACCAGGCTGGCCTCGAACTCACAGAGATCCGCCTGCCTCTGCCTCCCGAGTGCTGGGATTAAAGGCGTGTGCCACCAACGCCTGGCTCCAGCTGTTAATCTTAATATAAAAGGTTTCCTCGTGTAACTTTGTCTCTTAATGTTCCCCACAAAGTCGTACAGTTATTACCCCCTGACATGTTCTGTATCTCTGCTGACTGTTAAGTGCTATTATGGTCCCCTGGATGGACCCTCTTCTTAGACATTCTAACTGCTGATCCCCTCTTTTCACCTTTCTGTCAGCCTAGAAGTGGTTATTGGGATGCCCCCAAACACTAAAAGTAATTTGGGTGACCTCTTAAAGCAGACTACTGGACCACGGACCATCAACTCGTCTCTCTTCCCACCACTCTGAACATTGTTGTTGGGACTCAGAACTACAGTACCTGGATGGAAGCCTCCTTTCCATCAATTAACCTCTGTCTCACTAGCTCAGGTCAGCTGAACATCCTTCAGGACCAGTTAGACTCCTTGGCTACTGCAGAACTCTGCAGCTGAAAAGGACCAGATCTGACTGCTTTGATGGGATTTGTGATCTCCTCAGTGAACATGCTGTTTCCAGGCCAACACATCCTAACTGGTTTGAGATGGGGCTAGAGACAGGGACCAGAAAAAAAATTCAACCACAAGCCTTCAGTGTGTGGTGTGGCTTCTGGTTCCCTCCCCTCTGACTCTCCCTGGATCACTCTGACTGGATCACTCTGGCTCTCCTTGGATCACTCTGGCTCTCTCTGGCTCTCTTCTGGATCACTCTGACTCTCTCTAAATCACTCTGGCTCTTCCCTGGTTCACTCTCGCTCTCCCCAGATCACTCTGGCTCTCCCTAGATCACTCTGGCTCTCCCTGGATCACTCTTTCCTCTTTATTATCTTCATACTTATGTTTTACCCCACATTTACAGTGTTTTACTCACTGAACTTGACCCTCTACCTAAACAAAATGTCCCATATAAGCTTTCCCAAAGCTCTCACCCTACAACAGCTCTATTTATTCCTTATACGTCTCCAGATAGACCCTTTAGATGCTGTGGAGAAACTCTGGCTAAAAGGGACCTTCATCCCTTTCACCCCAGGCCAGATACAATTCTTTACATTAGTCCTTTGTTTTCTCCTGTTGGGTTCCTTTGGTGCTCTGTGGCTCCCTACTTCTGCTAGCTTGTTTTTGTGCAACAGTCCTGGCAATGGGATCAGTCACTGTCACCCTGAATCAGCTCTACGCCCACTCTCTCTCACTAGCCCATTCTGTCTCTTTCACCTCTGCTTCTCCTTACTCCATAACCTTCCTGGAAAACCTCTCAGTTTTATTCTAAACAAAATCATCTGTTTACAACTAACAACAACAACAACAACAGTAATAATAATGATAATAATATTTTTTCAAGTCTCTTCAGTAATGCAGGATGACAAATACACAATCTGTTGCATCTGATCAAGTTAAGATTTTCCCTTGCTATGTGACCAGAAGATCCCCCTCTTCAATGGACCTGTAACCACCCCCTCCAACAAAGACCCTCCTCAGCAGAAAATAGTTATAACACCCTCACCCTGCATTTTTTTTTATATCCTCTCAGAGTTAGGAATGATAGTTTCCTGCTCAAAGACTACACTTCCCAGCTTCCCTTGTGGACTACGGAAGTCATTTCCGCCCCTATAAGGGGCCCGCATCCCATCTTCTTCTGTAGGCATTTTGGCCATCTGCACATGTGAGTGATAAAGTGCTTCCTCGCTGTGAATAAACATGGTCCCACCTAAGGTCAGACCAAGCCTCTCTTTCTTTCCTTCTTCTGCCTCTCTACAGCTGTCTTAAATAATCTAACATTATCTAACAGCTTGCATGTGCTTTGAGAGTTGAGTTTTGAGCATGTTTTCAAGGGTCTGAGCATGCGTTTAGTTCTTGTATACGAGGGGATGAAGTAAAGGAACTGCTGACATGATTGCTCCATGATAAGGTTAAGCTTTTTACTGGAGATAGGAGAGCGAGAACAGCCAGGGGCATCTGGAGGAGTCCAGAGCAGAGAAAAAAAGATGCAGGCAGACTGGGGAAGTAGGAGAGCAGGAGAGAAGATAGTGAGAGACAGAGAATAGAGCTCGGTTAGAGCACAGGAACAGGGGATAGTCAGCGGATAACAGGAATGAGTATAGTCAGAAGACGAGAATGGGTAGCTGGGAAGGGAGGCCAGGAAGGAGACTGGTGTGGGGACTTTGAAATGTATAACAAGTATTTATGAGTAGGGATTGAGGGAGCCCGGAGGCTGACATGGCTTTGATATGCAGCCACATCTAGCTCAATGGAACCGTATGTCACTTCTGACAGAGGTAAGGGAAATGACAACTTTTGGCAGATGGGAACTAGTTTCAAAAATTCCTCAAGGAATGCTGGCTTCTATCTAACCTCCAGAAATCCTCCTGTAGTCCAGCTTGAGCTCGTTTCTGTATACTTGGACAGCTGAGGGAACTAATAGTCTAGCCTTTCGTTGGTGATAAGGGGTGATGTAATGTAGCTGCTTCTTAGCTGGACTGGGGAGGGTTGTCGTGGCAGTCCAGGAAGGCCGGAATTTGAGTCAAAGGCCAGGATGGCGTGGGGGGTGGAGGTTGTGGTGGTGGATGGTGGCAGGATCTGGTTAGCTGATCGAGCCTGGAGAGAGAGATACAGGGATCAATCACATTGACTTAACAATGGCAAGGGATCCCTGAGTACATTTGACCTGTCATAGGTGGAGCCAAGTCGCAAGCCCCTGAAGTTTACATGAATTATCTGAAGCTTACAAAAAGAGATAAAAGTTTTAGATATTAGCATGACCACTGTCTGTGATCTGGCTGAAATAGCCATTGCAGGGAAAGCTGTTAACAGATGTCCAGACACAGTAGGAGCACACACACCCACCTTTGAACCATAGCAAAACAAACTTGAACATGTATTTGTCTGTAATAAGACAGACATTTCTTGGTGGGGAAGAAAACAAAGGGGCGAATGCTTAGCACTTTTACGTCTATATTTAGGAAACAGTCAAAGGAAATTTGAAATTTTGAGCCTGTGACAATAATAATTAAAAAAATATTTAATACCCAGTGTCTTACCGAGGCTAGATTAACATATCAGAGCTCCATTGAGTGAACTTTGAAGTCTTAACATTGTGTGCTGTCTCTTAAGTCTCATTTTCACATACTTTAAGTCATTTTCACATACTTTAAGTCATTTTCACATACTCTAAATCCCTTCTTCAGACCTTTACAGCTTGCAAAAACTTTAAACCTTTCCTTTTTCTTTCTTGTTTTTTTAAGGCCGTGTTTCTCTGTGTTGCTCTGGCTGTCTTGGAACTCCCTCTGTAGACCTAAACTTTTTCTTTTTGTCTGGAAATATCTCATCATTTACCATGAGGCATAGATGCTTGATTGCCAGGGAGAAATCATTGACAAGCAAGTTCTTTTGAAAAAAGGAATAGTAAAAAGCAAATTTTTAATAATTGCAACAGGATAGCTTGAGTTTGCTTTTACACCGAAGTCTGTGTTGTGAGCTTACCTTTTTCAGCATGAAGCCCTTCAGAAAGGTAACCCTGCTTGTGACTTGCCTTTCTTAGCTGGGTGCCTGGACTCTGGTAAATGCAAGGTCTAATTTTAAGTAGCAAAGAGCTGTGTGGGGAGGAGCTGGCTGAGGTCAGCTTGCTGCTCCTAAACTGATAAAGCTAGGGTTCTGCCTTCATACAGAGATCTGACAGGGATAATTTGGGCAGTAAGTGTAAGTCAAGTGGCCTCTGTATCAGTTAAGAATGACAGAAATTTACCTTCTACCTGGACAGCCAGTATGGTGATGTCATGCCTTTGTTGGGGTCAGAGGTTGTCAGTGTTTGGCAGCCACACAGGGCAGCATTAAGTCTTTAGCTGCCACACAGGACAACAGCAGCCTTCAGCCACCAGACACAGGAGGTCTGAGAGGTTTTCCCGTGGAGGAGGGACTTGGAAAAACTACCTTGGCGAGGGCACTTAACACAACAGCTTCCATATTTTAGGCGGGGCCTTGGTGGTGGTGGTGGTGGTGGTGGTGTGTGTGTGTGTGTGTGTGTGTGTGTGTGTGTGTGTGTGTGTGTGTAGGTGTGGCTGTGGGGCAATTCTTTACCACACTTGAAGCAAGATCTAGAGGGAGTCAGTTGCTGCCCATCTTCCCTCCCGTTACCAGAAACTGACTGGTATTTTTCTGCCAGGGTGAGCGATGAGCAGTTACTGGTAGACGGAGATTGGGAGAGGAACCATGGCTAAGTAATAAAGGTGGCCAGATTTTCCTCAGCCTCCTAATTTGAGACAAAGGCCTCAAGCTGAGAAATCCTGCTGATGAACTGGCTCAGCAAGTTAAAGGCCTGGTGAGGAGGACATGTCATACATATTTTTGGACCAATCAACCATCCTATCTGTCTTCAAACTGACCACCCCTGAGTGGGGGAGGAAGGCTCTTCAGAGCCTTTAAAACCCCAGTCCTACAGGAGAGACTGGGCTTTTCGGCTTCCCAGCGGTGCTTGGGAGTTCTCAGCTGTTGTCTGTTGCACTTCAGATTTTTTTTTCTGCCTCTTATTTCTTTAACTGACAGGAAAACTGAACCCAATCAAGACCCCTAGGTCGTATTATTTCTAGACTGTGTCGCTTCGGAGGCTTGCCTCCGGATTTCTTCTGATCCCGGGATCTGTCTGAGGACTGTGGATTCAACAAGGTAAGAAATCCAGGAGGGGGATGTGCGCTGGGCAGTCCAGTTGGCCGGACCACAAGGCGTCCAGGGGCTTTTCTCAGCTTCTGCCGTGAGGTCAGTAACGCCTCTGAGAGATGCTCATTTAGGAGCCGCACAGAAGCAGGGACCAGACCTCTGCATTGGCGTTCCTGGCTTCCAGAAAGGGCATTCTCAGAAGAGCCGGTTTAGGGGACCTGCCTAGCCTCACTGGTTACCATCCCTTGTTCTCATCACAATCTCAGCTAGAGAAGACAGGCCAGGTGCAACGGTACAACTCTAATCCTAGCCTTTGAGAGACAGAGATAGGACGATCACTGCAAGGTGCCAGCAGCCGAGCCAGCCGTGTGAAGTGATACTGTGGCTCAGACAGTCCCTCTCCCGGCACTGGTTTCTAGTTTTCCTTTATTTATAGAATATGCCAGAATATTTCAGTACTTACAAGTTCTTTCATCTCGAGCAGTTCATACTGAGTAATCTTACCTTCATTTAAGTTTTTAATCTGCTTAACAATCTCGGTTTGTCCACGCTGTTTGTCATGACATTAGAATTCTCTCTTTTTTCTGCTTGTTATTGTTATCCCATTTCCATGAGGTTATTTCTATCTTTTCTTTTTTGGGGGTGGGTGGGTTGAGACAGATTTTCTTGGCATAGCCTTGGCTGTCCTTAAACTTACTCTGTAGACCAGGCTGGACCCAAACGCAGAGATCTGCCTGCCTCTGCCTCTTGAGTACTGGGACTAAAGGTGTGCACTACCACTGCCTGGGTCATTTTTACGTTTTATGCTGTGAATAAGAAGTTAGAGCTACACAGTCTAAATATTTTAGCATCTTTATTTCAAGAGGAACCTTCTTTGTTTTATAAAACCATTTGTGTCAACTATTTTTGTACCTAAAAGAAAAAAATATATTTTAATCAGTGAAATGGTCACAATTTCAAATATGAATATACTATGTCATCAGGGAATTTTATATTGAGCAATTCTCCAGAAAATTACGCTTTCCTGTAACCCGAACCAAATCCAAAGGAAGTTTTACTGTTGGATTGGTCAGTCTTTCAGTAAATAGATGAGTCAGAGTCAGGAACTACCTTGGGAGGGGTGTGTGTGTGTGTGTTTTCATTTCTGTCTTGTTTTAAATCACTCCATGTTCTCATATTCATTCTTCAGGTTCAAAATGGCTTGTTTCATTGCTCCCATATTTGATTTTTGATCTGGGGAATCTTTAAAAGTATGGTCAACTTACGCCTCTCCTTCCGCCTTTGCATAAGTCCAGTGATTAAACTAGATTGCAATGTTTGTACGACAAGTGCCTTTTACCCACTGTGCTCAAAATGCAGTTAAAGAAAAGATGATTCAGCCGGGCGTTGGTGGCGCACGCCTTTAATCCCAGCACTCGGGAGGCAGAGGCAGGCAGATCTCTGTGAGTTCGAGACCAGCCTGGTCTACAAAGCGAGTTCTAGGACAGCCTCCAAAGCCACAGAGAAACCCTGTCTCGGAAAAACCAAAAAAAAAAAAAAAAAAAGATGATTCTGTCTGGGCTTTGTGAGCTACATGGTATCAATTGTCTCATTACCTTAAATATCTTCCAACTAAAATGTTTTTAAAGGTTGGTTAATAGCTTGCTCATGAAAGCACAAACAGCAGTTGTCAGGTTTATTTTGTTTCCAAAAGGAAACAACCATGCTAGATACAAGCTTAAATTAATGAGGCTAGTTATTAGCCTCTAGTAACCAAAACAGAGGTGGGGATGTCAAGACTAGCTACCTCAACATGAATTCAGTCTCTTTCCATAACATTCCTATCATTCACATACACACACACACACACACACACACACACACACACACTAATCGATGTGCTTAGTGTCCATCATTCTTGACATCTTATGACAGCTGTTGAGTCACAGGTGTGACATGTGTAGAACAAGTTAAAGGTGACTCTGAGTGGTTCTTCCTATATCGTGCACTTAGATGAGGGATCATTTTTAAAAAGCACCCTTTCTTCAACCCAACAAGATAAAAGACATGCCCACAGATCCTCCCAAGACCAGTGGGTCTCACCCTGTGGGTAGAGACCCCTTGGGCATTGCATATCAGATTTTTTCCATTATGATTTGTAACTGTAGCAAAAATACATTGGTAAAATAGCAATGAAATAATTTTATGGTTGGGGTTACCATAACATGAGGAGCTGTATTAGAGGGTCACAGCATTAGGTAGGTTGAGAACCACTGCCCTAGACAGAGATTATTACGTACTGACATCTATATCAATCACGCATCACCACAATGAGTGTAGATTAAAGAGTTGTTCTTTAGGTAGGCACAGGCTAGCTCTGTGAGCTGACCTATGATCATATTGACTGAAGAGTGTCAGTTAATTACTGCCTCAATAACAAAGGTGACCAAATTAATATTTAGAAATCTTAAGAAAAATGGTAACACTTTGTACACATATTCTCACAAAACGTACATATCTTCTCTTGTCAAATTATGTATCTCTCCTTACACATCGTTCCCTCCTTCCCCACCAAATAATCGGCAAATACACATTTTGTTGTGAATGTGCAGGGCTCTCAGAATTAACATTCTCTTGCTTATGTCCCAAATAATCATGTATTTGTTGTCATTACCAGTCAACTTCATGGGAGATAGCATTTAGTTAACGAAAGTGTCACTATATCTAATAATTGTTACAAGCTTGAAAATCTTCATTGCTTAGTTATAAAATATTATTTTCTTTGCTAAAACAAATATGAATGTATATTTAGCCATTTTTGTAACATTTACTTCATTAGTATAACTTTGGTATTTTAAAGAATTGCAGGCATTTCTGAAAAATAAACATTCATGTGTAGGAAAATGCATGACTTAGTGATTATGTTGTAAACAATCTACGTGTTTTCTCTTACCCAACACATTCCAAAGCCCTGTCTATTTTATCTTTAATCTCAATTCAGCTGATAAAATACAGCTGTTAGTTTAATTCAAGTGTCTAATGAGAAGGATTACTGAAATTTAAAGGCAAACATTACCATGGATTGCTGGTTGGGGTCACAACAGCCCAGAAATCATGTAATGAGGAATTGTTAATACTTTATTTTATGAAGAGAAAGTATTATACCTTTACAGTTTCAAAAGTTCACTACTTGTCATTTTGAAAAGTCAGCACACACTTTCTCCCTCACTGTCCTTTTTCTAGAGACAAAATGGAAACATTTTTTTTGTTTCATACAAGTATACAATGTATTTATCAAATCCATTCCCCACTCCCTCTCCTACAAGCCTTCTCATAAATCACTGAGTCTGTTTAGGGCCCCCCAGTATGCACAAGGGATGTAGGTTCATCCACTAGAGGTTGGACATCCTACTTCTGTGGGTCTGGGGTCATTCAGAGATTTACAAGTCTGACTTAAGTTTTGGTTTTGTAAGTTAAAGGTTTTATAGTAAAAAGAGATTGGTTAGGACCAAACCAAAAAGAGTTCTCTAGGTAAGGCACCAACTAAGGATTATAAAAGCAAAACCCATGAAGTTATGATTTTGGGGAGCCAAATTAACTCATATCCTGTCTGGGTGCAAGCAAGGCTTAATTTTATAACAGATGTCTAGCAAGCACCTCAGCCATCCAAGCAAGCAAGGGTTTCAAACAAAAGCAGAACTTAACAGTTAGCCTGTTTCATCTTGTGACCCATTACCTTGTAGGAATAGCTGAGGCAGTGAAATATTTTGTAATAATCAGCAATGTTTTTTAAGAATAGCCCAACTGCACCAGGAAGTGGTCCATCTTGGGTCAGCTGATGGCGCATTCAAGGTAGGAGCAACTTTCTCATGGCTTACACAAGCTAAAAACAATGTTGTTTTTTCAAGCCTCGCACAGTAAATTTATCCTCTCAACATAATAGTCACCATTACACTACTATGAGCTGTATTCACCAAAAAATATTTTTCCCATCTCCAGCAACCATCAATTAACAATTCCTTTCAAGTAGAGTCCCTTCCTTACCCATGTTAGAATATTGACCGGCTTGATCTTGTACAGGTCTTATTCAGGCAACTACAATTACTCTGAGTTTTTGAGTGTAAAGGTCTTGTCAAGTCCAACAATCTTCCTTGATTTCTGGCTCCTATGATCTTTTCACACCATCTTCATCAGTTTTTCCTGAGCATGGGGGCATGTTGTGATATAGATGAGTACTCCTCAGTCAATTATTTTCTGCGTTTTACCTGTTGTGAATAACAGCACTAAGAAGCTGCTCTGTTGGGGGGAGTGGTGACAGTTGTGCTAATCTATGTTTGTGAGGATAGGCATGTCGAAGGTAGTTTGATATTGTGTCTATTTAGCAAACAATATTAGTGGGTTCTCCCCAGTGGCTATGACCTCCTTAGCCATGTGTTCTCAGAAAGATTGATAGTGCCAGGCCTGAGTTTCCTCTTGTGGAGTGAATCTTTAGAAACGCAATTAGAAAGATGTTGGTTACCCCCGCAATACTTGTGCCTCTTTTGCCAAATAGGCGTATATTGCCAGCTGATCATTTTGTATCTCACAATGCAGCTAAGTAGGACTGTTGATGACTTTCCTCTCTCAGCAGCATGTAAAAAGACTGAAGAGCTAGTTCAGCAGGTAAAACATTTGCTACATAAGCAAAGAGAAGTTTCAGTCTCCTGTGTCCATATAAAAGCTGTGTGTGTGTGGGGGGGGGCGGAATGAGACTGGAGGGATGGCTCAGAGGTTAAGAGCACTGACGGCTCTTCCAGAGGTCCTGAGTTCAATTCCCAGCAACCACATGGTGGCTCACAGCCATCTGTAATGAGATCTGGTGCCTTCTTCTCAGACATACATGCAAGCAGAATACTGTACGCATAATAAATAAATAAATCTTAAAAAAATACTGTGGGAGGCAGATCATAGAATCAGCAAGCTGAAGACAGACTAGCTAAACAGTGAGCTCTGGGTGTAATGAAGACCCTTCCTGGACCTTGAAGGTGGAG